TGTGATTGTGAGTGATTGCAACAATTTCTAAGGATGCTCTGAGAGGGAATCTTGATAGCACTGCATTAGCTTTTGTTTAAATGTGCTGTTAAATTTACTGCTTGGATTGCATACAGTCACAACTATCTTATACCAGTTATGCTATTGGGAAAAAGAACTGTCTCTCAAGGGATGATCACAGCATTGCCCTACAAGTCTTGTTTGTGTTTACTTAAGCTGTAATGTGGAAAAGAAGAAGTCATAATACTGGTTGGGTTTACACATAACAATTACACATTGTGGTAAATCATCATGAAGGGTTGTATTAAGTGCCAAGTAGCCACAATGAACCTAATCAACAATTGTGTTCCTTGCAGCTGCTCTGCTCCCTTCCCTGCCTTCTCTCTCATTCCAGGGGACAGAACTGGAAGGAATGAGACTCCTGTCTTTGATAGCCATGGCTGCAAGCCACTCACAGACTTATCAGACATCCTCCCACTCTGAAAGAAATCTTTTCACTCTCAGGAGAGCCTAGAACAATTGAGCAGCTTGGTAAGAGAGGCTGTTGCCATTCTTGTCAAGTGGCTACTCAGACACATGGCTGACAGTTGCCCCAGCTTGGCACGGCATTCCAAGGTGTCCCTTCTGCTTCCTGCTCCTGGTTTTACTGTCAAGCAGGAATAAGGAATGAAGGAACTAGGTGCTGCCGCCTGATTGGCTTTCTCTGGGCAGGGCTGGGGAAAGGGGGGTTGGGCTAAGTGGGTATGTGCTGAGGAAGGAGGACCCATCTCAGGTTGGTCAACACAACTAGCAAAGATAACTATCAACGGTTGCTTGTCATATTGTGTGAATCCAGTCATTATCTCACAGACCTAAGACAATCTGGTGATGTTGAGAGTGAAATGCAGCTTCAATGCAAGAGGATTTTAGAAGTCAATTTAGAAGAAATTTAGAAGTTTAGGATTTTAGAAGAAATTTAGAAGTCAAATTTTTAAATTTGATGGATTTTAGAAGTCTGCATTCAAACACCATAACATGTATGCAGTGGTTCTCCCAAAGCTGGCTTGGGCCAGCTATGTGAAGCTGCTAATGCATGGCTTCATCTAATCTGATGTACCTACTTAGGACGCACTAGAGCTTATTATTATTTTTATTTATTTAGGAGACTTCTATGCCGCCCCATTCGCTGAAGCCTCGGGGCGGCTCACAACCGTAAATAAACTTCAATAGAATAATATAAATTAACAATATAAATTAAGTCACCCTGGCCAAAGAATAAAATGAATAAATAATATTAACAATTAAAATAACATTTGAATAAAAAGGGCTTCGCCTGGCGCTGAAAAACAAATAACAATGGCGCCAGGCAGACCTCTCTGGGGAGCGCATTCCATAGATTGGGCGCCACCGCAGAGAAAGCCCTCCTCCGAGTACTCACCCTCCTAATTTCCTTCACGGAGGGTTCCCGGAGAAGGCCCCCTCCCGCAGATTTCAAGGGGCAGGGGGGCATATATGGACGTAAGCGCTCCTTCAGGTAACCAGGCTTAATAGAAACTCTTGTTTTTGCATGTTCACATAAAGTGAAATGTGAGGTTGCAATGTGAGTATATTCCATAACAGCAAGAGGCTGGAGTTTCAAGCAAGCCTCTGTTACTGTTACTAATCACAATTTCTTTCAGTTGGAGATAGATGTCACTGTTCCTTGGAGATGTTACTTGCTTCTCAGAGCAATCTTATGTATGTTCCGTCAGGACATCTCATTAAGCTAGACTGGATTTACTTCCCAACAGAACTGTTTAAGATTCCAGATTTGGTCTATTTATTGTACTGTAGGGAGAGGGCTCATTAGTTTCTTTAATGTTTTATTCATGAGAAAGATGTTCCCTGTGATTCCAGGGCTATTCTACTGATTAGCAGATGCCTTGTGTAGTCTTTCTTGTGTTAGAACTCCCACTCCCCAACTGTATAGGAACATAGGTACAAGCAGATGTTCTGGCACAGGTTGTGTCAGTACAGATATCCATGTAAATGGATAGCTATCTAGATATAGGGATGTGCTAACAATGGGAGGCCGAGTTCATTCAAACTTGATAGACTTCCTGTTTGTTGGCAATCTAATGACTGGGTTCTAAAGGGTTCCGTTTCTAAAATGGGCCAGGGTTTGTGAACTAAAAAAAAAAAAAAAGCCCCATCCTGGGATATTTGTGCATATAGCTCTGGTTGTACAAACTGGAAGCCAGAATCTACACAGTTGTAACGATTTGTGCAAATCACATTAGAACTGCATAGTTATCTGCTTCCAATGTGTGCAAATGGTGTGATTTGTGCACATTTTCTTTTTTCTTCTTCTTTTGTTGTTAACATGCAAACTGTGGCCTGTCTTAGAGACCAAAGTCCAAAAGCTGTCTTGACTTGCACAACAGTGAGTAAGCACCAGTGCAGAACGAATGAAGTGGAATTGGCCGTGGGAGGAGTCATAAAAAAATATTTTACATTTTCACCCTCCCCATCAAATTCCTCAGAAACCTTTCTGGAGATGAGGCTAATATAATACAGACACAAGCAGCGTGACTATACTCCCTTGCAGTAGTATGATATACTGATATTAATGTTTGAAATCAACTACTGTAAACTGAATTACTGACACAGACTTAAGTCTATATTGAATCTTTTTGTGTGAAAGCTGCAGACTGCTAAATAATACAGCAGTTCTGCAAGAAAATTTTGATAATGCTGTAAAATCCACTTAGAGAGTCCTTAACACTAATTTAATTGTGGAATACAAATTGAATGAATGAATGAATGAAAATTATAGCCCATATAGAGTGTTTTGCATATATCGTGTAGAAGCCTAGTGCTCTCCCCATTCTTTGACTAAGAAAAACCTGAATTGGTCACTAAGAAGCAATCTGACCGTTAGTTCTGTCCTATATAAATGTTCGTAAGTTCTGTAGCTAATTATGAGTTACAATGATAAACACTATTAATTCACTGTAAGTTTGCTTTAGCCATCCTGCACTGTCACTATCTACCATTTCCTACCTGAATTTCCTCAACCTATCTGCTAATCCTCTTGAGTTCTTCCGGGCACTTACTAGATTTGTATGAGAATCATGCTGTTATCTCTCTGAAGTATGTGAAGACCTCTGTCCTTTGGCAATTGTAGCTACAGTGGCAGGACCCACATAGCCATTTTATTATAGTTTTGTAAGCACAAACTACAGATTCCAAACCACTACTTCATATTTGGTTCGTGAATCTGTGGGTAAATTTATGCCATTACTCCATCACAAGTACTTCATTAGCTCAGATTTCTCCTTATAGCTTAAGCAAACATGCATTTTTAGAGGTTGAAGGGACAAAGATATATGATTTCTCTACTGCCAAAGAGGGCAATATCTCACAAAACTCCTTCATTTATTTACATTATTATTGTATCACACATGTTGACACTAGAAATCTGGAGCACTTAAGTCACTTTTGATCTAGAAAGCAATTATGTCCTTATTTACAAGTAGCTCCAGCCCAACCCTGTCCATCTTTACTCTCAGATGTGTATGTTTAGGATTGTAGACTGCAAGCATCTGCTTAAACAGGCTCCTGAATAGAAAAGGTCATACTACAATAAATGTGTTGTAGTATTTAAGGCAGCACAAGGTCCACTGATTTCATTGGAGCTATGTGATTAGATAAACAGCATCTGTCATGTTTCCAATGTTATGCAAAAAAAAGCAATTCTTTAAAATTAAGTGCATCCTTTTTAATTAGTGTTTATGTAGCCAATAATCTCTGCAGGCATTCCTGTTAGATGAAGGAAAGGCTGAAAGTGTGTTAGTTTTGGGATTAAGGGATGGCTCTGGCTCTCAATTATACGGATATAAGGAAGACAAAATGAAAGTTTAATTCTAACATTGAACTATGGCGGCTTGTTTTATTTTTTATTTTTTGATTTCTTTTGTAGTTTTATGGCACATACTTTATTTTTTAATACCATGCAAGTCACCCCGGAAAAGCAATGTTTCAGAACAAAATAAAATACACTCTTACGGGCCATTCCCTGTTCGGGTTTTTAAAACACGTCAACATCCCAAACAATAGCAGATATCCCTATCTCGAACTCTGTTATACAACACTATAAACCAGATTTATTTAAAAACTGAACGGACTGAATCGAGTTTTAACACCACAAAGCAGGTTTCCGATACAGCACTCGTTCATGGTAGAATGAGGGTACACGTTCATCATTCAACCATCTTTAAGGGCCGCTGTAATTTAAATAAACGATGGGAGGCTGCAATTCTGAAGACACCTACCCGGGAATAAGTCTTAATGCATGCAAAGGAACGTAACTTTGAGGAGGCATGCACTGGCTCAGGCTGTTTAGGGGTGGGGGGAGAAAAAAGCTTTCGCGCGTGTATATTTGGCAACGGAGTACAACGAGCCCAAATTTAACCCACGGATTGAGCCTGATTCTTTATAGCTGACCTTCGTACACGCAAATACGCTTCGCGTGGGGTACGCATTATTGCAAGGTAGCTGGTCCTGTGGACTACGTAGTCCACAGCGAGGAAAACCAGGTCAGCGCGACCTCTTGAGGAAGGTCCGTCGCCCGTTTCTACTTTTCCACCGCAGAGCGCGGATTCATCCCGCTGCCAGTTTGTCTTTCCCCGCCTGACCTTCCCAACATGGCGGTGCGCTGCCCCATTTAGCCGGGCTGTAGCCGCCTCCCGAACCCCACAGGGGCCTCCTCAGTGGGTGGCGGGGCGGGCCTCGGGGGAGCGTAAAGGCTTGGCTGGTTGGTTCGCTGAGTGACTTTGAGACCGCAGCGCGGAGCGAGCCACTGTGGCCGAGGCAGAGTGAATGAGAGACCGACTGACGCAGGGAGAAAGGGGAGTACAAGAGGCCCGTTGGCCCCATTGAGTGCGCGTCGGCGGCGGCTGCTGACGACAGCAGGCTTGCGAGGAAGGCGGCGTTTGCTGAGCTGAGGGGAGGTTTCGCTCCCCGTCGCCTCAGTCCGCTTCTGGAGAGAGGGAAGAAGTGAGGGGGGCAGGCGGACGGAGGGGCAGCTGCTTAGAGAGCCCCAGCCGCCTCCGCACCTGTCTCTGAGCCCCCGCCCCGCGCCAGCCAGACACCGAGAGAGAGGAGGACGGCGACGGCGAGTGGGTGTTGCCGGCGCCAAGCACCTGGTTGTGCCTCCCCGCCCTCCTATCCTTCCGTCGCCGCTCTCTTTCCTGCATCGGCCGCCTCTCAAGGGAGCCCCGCCGAGGCAGGAGTGGGACCAGTGCGGCGAGGAGGTGGAGGAACAACACAGAGGGCCGGGGAAGCTGCGGGCGGAGCCGCGATCTCTGCGAGAGTCAGCGACATCATACGAGAGAGAGAAACCCCGTTTCGGGAGCGTCGTTGACACAGTCGCTTGGGAGCTTTCCTTAACACACGCTGCGACTCCCCCCGCCCCCCCCCCCACAACTCTTGTGCTGAGGGGAGGCAAAAAAAATTAAACTAAAATTTCCGCTGTTGGACTAGGTGGCGCGAAGAGCCGCGGCGTGAGCGGCAGGATGAACCCCAATGTCACCTATGCGAGCCGCAAGCGGCGGAAACCCGTGCAGAAAATGTAAGTGGGCGGTGGGGAAAAGGGGACGTTTGTGGTAGGGAGGGGAAGGAATGTCAGGGTTAAGACTTCCTCCCCGTATGATCTCGACATCCCCCCATTACTCCGCAAATCTTTTTTGTCTCCTGCTCTCCGCCCCCCCCCCCTTTAACCCTGCAGCACCTCCCCCATTGACCCTGCTGTACTTTTTGCTTCAACCTTGTGCTTGGCTTGCTTGTTCTCTTTAAACCTCCGTCCTTGATCGCACTGCAGTTTGTAATCTTATTTTTTCTGCTTGCCCCCACCTTCTGAGGTTTTGTTAAGTGATTTTGGAGGTGAAGGTAAGGATCGAAGGCCTTAACTTAGCGACGGATCGTGCCTTGTCAACTCATTTTCTCCACCTTGGAAGGAGGAAAAAAAAAACACTTAAAGAAAGAAAGAAAAGAGAAAAGGCCCGAGCTAACAAAATTCTACATGTCCAAAGGTTTTTGGTGGCCTGAGTTGGCCGTTTGCGCAATCTGTGTAGCCCCTCCCTTTCACTCTAGTGACTCTCTGAAATGTTTGTAAATAATTTGTAAGAATCTAAAAGAGAGCCTGTTCAAGCCTGAATATTAAAAGTTTCTTATTGTTAAGTCTTGGTTCGGGACCCTGCTTAATATGCTATTGCATTTTGTAAAAAAGGAATAGATAAGCTGAAGCTTAAGGATTTCTGAATGTGCTAGAAATTCCATTCTCTAGCACCTTCTGTAAGTGTGGTGACAAGCTGTGAGTCTTGTGTGGGAAGGACATTCTGTACATGCACCAAGGCATAAAACGACATATATTGCAGGACTCAATCAGCTATGAAATGTTGTGCATATTAAGCCTTGATTCAGGGCCCTATTTATATCAGGCCCTGATGACCCAGTTAAAGTCAAGCAGCTGATTAAAGTCAGAACAAGGGCTGTGAAGTGGGAGGGGATGAAAGAATGTCTCCAGTCTTTATATCTGTGTGGCTGGTTCTCCTACCAAGATTGGCAGTCAGTAGAGGTGACAGTGCTTTAGCAGTCAGAGCAAGTTTAAAATTGTTATCGAAAGTCTGTGGTAATTGATGTAGTTTCTGGGTTATTTCAGCTGTGGGGCATGGCTTGTGTTGACTAACAGAGATGGCTGGTAGCACATGGGGTGTGTATGTGCAGAAGGCCACATAGTGCTGGCTGCACTTCTGCTACTGCAGTGAGTTTGTAGCTTGTCTGAGGATTAATATTTGCTCTGTACCAGAATGTTGGAAGGCTTGGGTTTATAATGTGCGCCACAGTGATTGTCTTCTCTTCGTAGTATAGAGCATCGTAGGCCAAAATGCCATAGAATTCCAATCTGTGAGGGTTCTTTTAGATTTGTAGGATGTGTGTGTGTTTTGAAGTCTGAATTATGAGGAGGAAATAACTTTTAAAAACCCAGGACATTAAATTTAACCCTTGTTCCTGGTTTTTCTAACCATTCTAACAGTTTCAGTTATTCTACTCAGGCTTTTACAATATTCTTTTCTTTAGTAAAACATTGTACATACTTGTTCTAGGATTTTCGTGTTATCAGTGTTTTGTGCTTTAAAATACGTTATGCTGCATCTATAAGATAAAGAATTATACAGAATGAAAAGGTTGTTTAAAATTAAAATGTGTTTGAATTCTAATTAAAATAATTTAAGGTATGGAAATCTCTAAGATTTTTTATTTTAACTAAAAGTTCATTTTAATGGCTTTTCTATAGGTTGTGTGAATAGCACTTTTCACTAATTTGTGTTTACTGTTCAAGTAGCACTGCTGATAAAATATTTATTCCTTAACACAAAGTAACTGTATTGAGCTCTGTGATATTTCCCAAAGGATTTCAAGAAAGATTAAGTGCAGCAATTTGGGGTCTTTGCTGAGTTGGCAGTTTCAAAGTGTACACCTATGTTTGTTGTAGACTGTGGACTCTCTTAGACTGTATTCTGGATTTTTGTTAGTTTTTAATTGTGTGTTCCTGTTTAAATTTGGAGCATACAGATACAGACAAAAATTCTTTGGCATAGTTGGTAATTGAATTGAATAATGTAGAGCAGAATTAGTCTTCACTCATCCAGTAAATCCACATTGGGCCAGTCAGTGCCTCTCAGCCTAACCTACATCACAGGGTTGTTGTGAGGATAAAATGGAACTTTGCAAGCAGCCTTGTGTTCCTTGCAAGAGGGAAGAAGGCAAGATATAAATGCAGCATGATGATGATAAACGCTTATTCTGTTTTCTGTTATAGATATCAATACTAGAACAATATTTATGGGATAAGAGTAGTTACATAGCTGACTTTGCATTACACAAAAGCTTTCTTTGTGTATTAAGCAGCCTAAGGAGGTATATTATGTACTGGTTTCTAGGCACTATAGAGGAGCAGCACACACCCATTAAAAAATAGCCATGTTCCCTAAGTTTACTTTAGAGGTGACAGTCCTTGGTTATGCAACACTTACTGTTAAGTAATGCTGTAGTTATGCTTCTTGTAAACAACAGTGGACTAGTAGTGTTCAGATAGGTTTTTAAACTCCTGTAGCAATAATACAGGATAGTAATAAAATGGTAACTGGAGAATTCCCCTTTTCTTCCAGAAAACACATAAACTTGTTTAAAATGGGCTGAAATGACTGCTGGCATGTTATGAAATATATAATAGCAGCATACTTTAGTATTTCATGTAAGGAATGCTAAATTTAACACTTACATTTTAGCTTCCTTGTGTTCTCCAAAGGTTCATGTTGAACAGTGTGGGCTTGCAGTGTGGGCTATACTCCTAAAAATAAGTATATTTTCAGCCAAGTCAAGTTTGTAGTCACTTTAATGGTTCATTTTGACATAAGCTGATTCATGAAGAACAATACTTTTTGCTGAATGAAGGATTATATTTAACATACATTTTTTCCTGTGTCGGTTATGTTATATATCAATACTGTATGTACAAGTGGTAGGTGCTTTGAAGGAGAAGTGCTGTTCACGCTGGTTGAAACGTGGAAATATTATATTTCAGGTTGATTTGACAAAGAAAAACATTCCAAATCAGTGTTTCTGATATATAGGCAAAATATTTTTCTTGGGAGGAAAAAGACCCCTTTGAATGCTGATACCAGTGTATATATTGCTTTTGTGGTTTGTTTAGTCTTTCAACAAGTCCTTCATGGAATCATAGCCTACTGTATTATAACATTCTTAAATGGCGTAAAAGATGAACATGAGATTGTACTTCATTAAGAAGATACTTTAAAGAGGGATGGGGAATGTTCTGGTGTTAAAAAAGTGATACAGATACCTCTCCATTAAAAAAAATGTATGTTTATTGCCATGAGTTGAGGTTCAGTACATATTTGGTATTGCTAAATAAGCTTTTTGTCTACTGCTGGCAGACATTGTAGCCTATAATTCTATGAGCACTTACCTGGAAGCCAGCTTCCTTCATTGAAGCTAGTTCCTCTTATTTTGAATAAGCATACATAGGATTGTGTGTAGACTATAATCCTAAACATGCCTATTTGGTGGTAACTTCTTTTGTAAATGGGTCTTCTTATGAGTAAACATTATTATGGTCCCCATTAATGTAACATACCAAGAAAGCTGTTATGTGATCTTTTAGAATCTTGGGGGAATTTTTCCCATTCTAGTAGGTAGTACGAGTCTAGTTGGATAAGGAGAGTTGATGAATTCTATTCTGGTTTATCCTATCTGGCCAGCAGTTTTCTCTAAGTACTCCATGGACTGATGCTAAGGAATACTTCCTTCAGTACAATGCACATGGTCCATCTGTGGTGCTTTGCTCCCTTATGAACAGTAAGAGAAATTGACATTTTTAGGCAGCTTGTTTGCATCCATTATACTTTTTCGGCATTTGTGTTCTTTACATCCATTTTAGTGGCCACTTTTTCCTTCTAAAAAGTATTAAGTGCAGTAAAAAAGAGGAAGAGCTGTTTGGATTTTCTGTCTAGTAAGTACATTCTCAACTTTTTTTGGTCTGAGCCTGGTATGAGGAATGTGCCAGCTTTTCCAGCTTTGATGGGGTGGTGGGGGCAAAATTAGTCATATTTTCACTTCACCATTGTCTTGCTGACATGCTAGAACTGCAGCATTATAGCTGATGAAATAATTCAGTCACCTAAAACTACACTAACTACAGAAACCCAGCATCTGAGCTGAGAAGAGTTCACTTGGAACATAAGATTCTTTAGAATCTGAAAAAGTTGGTTGTTTCTCCTTACTTTCTGTGACTTTATGAACATCATTGCAGGTTCTAGAAATTCGTATCCTGACTATGTTTCTGTTTTTCCCCAGGTTGTCATTTTTGGCCCTCTTTTTTGGCTAAGTATTGAAAGTGTTTATATAGATCTTTTCATTACAGTACTGATACATATAAGTGTATTTAAGATTGCAAATATTTTAGATACTCTATGATAAAAAAAGATACTTAAAGGTTTTTCAGAAAACAATAAGCTATGTGGTGCTGCCAGGTTCTGGAATGCACTTGGACAAAATGTTATTAAACATTTCTATTTAATTACATAAGTTGCTTTTATTTTTTAAAGAAACTGTATCATCTGTTTATGAACTTCATGTATGTGAAAAATGGCTGCTTTAATGTCATATACCATACCTGACTGATAAATGAAAAGGAAGATGTATGTAGCTCTCAAATGTGTTAAAAGATTAGATAAGATTTAGTGACATAACTTGAAATATACACAGAAAACTTAGAGTAGTTGTTATGATGGGAGATGGCCACCTTCATTCCCCCCCTCCCCCGCAGATCAGATGTGGCAATAGATAGAAAAGCTATACAGCCATCTTTTTTCCTTCCACTGAAAACTTTTGAAAACTGAAACGGCCATGATCTTTTAGAATAACAGTTATAGTAGAAAAACACTTTTTGAAAGGTACAATCCATATGAATGGAATACGAGTCTGGCCACATACATGTGAAAATGTGCTTTCCTGTAGCATGTGAAATACTGTGTTTTACATTTGTGTAGAGTCTTCCAAATACATGATTTCTCTCACCCCTTCTTTTTTGAAGTGTAATGTAACATAGGAATAAAATATTAAAGAAATATTATGGAGCAGCTCACAATCCCCATTTAACAAATGCAACCTGTCTATTAGTTGGTAGAAAGACTGGTGTATCTTTCTTAGTGGGAAATAGTATGCATGTATTTGCTTAATTTATACATTGTAATTTAATTTTTTTCTATAGCTTCCTGAACTATCTGTTTACCTATTCATCACAGTGGAATTTAAATTAAAGAAATCCTTAAATTTCAAACTTTATACAGTAATTAAATCTGGAAAGCTTTAACATTGTGTGCAGTTAGGAGTTTCCTGAAGATCTGAAAGAGTGTGCACTGTTCATGGTTCTTATATAAAGTGCCACAGCAAAATAGTAGATTTTAAATATAATTATGTGGACATATACAGCATTTTAATATTTTAAATCTTGTAGTGGTCCAGTAAGTGTAACATGATAGGCATTTTTTCAAGAGAAAGGAATATTCCTGGGTTTCATTGATAATCATGGAGTTCGTTCTTTTTAAAAGCTAGATATTGGGTATAAACTACTGCAGTTACTGAAATGTCCACAGTTTGTTTCTATGTGTTCCATTTATAGCTGACTTTTATTCAGTGTCACTTTCCACCTTTTCCCCCACTATTAGTTTTCATTTGATCATTCTTTTTCAAATGTGAAGAAAGCTGACTCTAAATCTTGAAACACTTAAAGGAGGCAATGACATTTTAAGGCTGCTGTCCTGTATTCTCTTACCTCAGATGGAGTTATAACAGGGCTTAATAGGAGTTACGTATGTGTGAAGAGGCACAGAATTGTGTTGTGAATGTATTGTTTTGTGCCATGATAGCCTTTTGAAATGCAAACTCTGGAGTTTAAAAGGAGAGAAGTTGTTCATTGCACCTAGATTGCAAAATCAGAATTTTAGCTACATTTTTGTTTTCGCCTTGTTTTACTTTCTGTCGTTCAGTAGTAGTTAAAGTTAGAATGTATAACATAACAAGAAGCTACTTTAATCAATCTAAGAAATTTTAGATGCACATTTCAAGCATCATGTGTTGCTGTCTGAGTGGCAAACTGAAAAACCTAGTTGGAGCTGCACGAGAGGTAAACAATGTTAAATTCATTGATAGACTAAGGTTTCTGCAGTTTCTTCATTTTGATCTGTTCCTTTTATGGTTTTTGCTTGACAAACATTTTCCTCATTATCATTTATGTCTGTTGCATGTTTTGAGTACAAACTGAAAAACATAGTTTTCATGATATACCATTCAGCTACTTGTTTTGTAGTAAGTAACTGCCAGTAGGTTTTTTAAATTGCCCATTATTGTAAGTTGGGCTAATGCAATATTTGAAAAAGAGAGAGGATTGACAACATCTGCCATCATATTCCTTATCAAAAAAGAGGTGGGGGAGCAGACAAAGAAGGCTGCACCATTGAGCCACTAAGAGATTATCCCAAAGGTGTTGTGAAGAGCTTTCAGTACAAATTTTTGACAGAATTTTAGGACAAGGGAACTATAAATTTACATAATATCTCATATCAGAAAAAGCAGTCCTGACTTAGATACACTGCTCTTATTATGAGGGTTGTTCACATTTTTTAAAACCCTTAAGAATTTCAAAAACAAATTACATCACTTTTCTACATAGTCAGTTTCCTTTGTGATGCATTTTCCCCAGCGTTATACCAACTTTTTAATGCCATCAGCCAAACATGTTTTTGGTTGACCGCATAGCCACTGATGCACTGCTGCTTTCATATCATCGCATGAAAATCATCTTCCCCTTAAAACTCTGCATCCGTCACATTACTACAGCCATTTTTGAACATTTTAATCCACTCATAGACTCTGAGATAGAATTTTATCCCCATACTGAGCACACGTGCAGAGATGAATTTGTGCTCCTGGCACACCTTCTGCTCACAAAAAGTATATGACAGAACACTGTTCTTCTTTGGTGCAATTTATAAGTTTTGGGGCCATCTTCACAGCCTGACAACTTTTATACTAAACTTCAAGGGCAGCCAGCTTGCCAGACAGACTTGTCACATGACACTCTCAGCCATGACCAATTACTCCTCCCACACTCACCATTTCCAAAGAAAATATAAAAGTGCAGAAACTTTGAAGACCATAAAATATTCCTTTGTTACCTACAGATCCAATTTGATTTGAAAATCCACATATCTTAGATTTTAGCTGCATACGGAACATGCCTAAGAAATGTGTTTGCACAGTAATTATAAAATCAAAAACGAAAAACCATAGACAAAGTAACTGACCTAAGTAAGCTGTTGCGGCTATGTGCCATCAAGTTGCCTTTGACTTATGGCAACCTATTAATGAATGCCCTCCAAAACCAACCTTTGACAGCCCTTCTCAGCTTTTGTAAACTATAAGAGGTGTGGCTTCCTTTATGGATATATTATCTCATATTAGGTATTCTCTTTCTTCTACCTTCAACTTTGACTAGTAGTACTGTCTTTGCTGGTAAGATTCATTGGCTTATGATGTAGCCAGAATACAACAGCTTCTGCTTCATCATTTTTGCTTCCAGGGAATGTTCTGGCTTGATTTAGTCTGGCCCACTTATTCATCTTTTTGTTGGACCAGGATATTTGCAAAGTTCTCCTCCAGCACCTTGTTTTGAACACAACAATTTTTTTTCACTGTCCTGCTTTCACATGCATGCATAGTGATCAGGAATACAATAGCATGGATGATCTTGCCCTTGGCCTTCGATGGATCCTCCTTAATTATTTTTTTCTAGTTACTTCATTTCTTTCCTTTCAAGCCTTTTCTTCAGTCTTCTAATTTCTTGGCTCCTGTCTCCATTTGAATTTGTTCAAAGTATTTGCAATCAAGTTTGTTGAATCTCACTTCTTTAAATTCTCTGATTCAAGTTAAACTTGGTTTCTTCAGAGTGCAGTCCTCTTATAATGATCATATTTTCCTAAACATGGAGGTTTGCAGTCATGAAGAGTGGGAGGAATAGCAGAAGCAGCCTCCATCTCCTTGACCTCCTGCCCTTCATTTTCACGAGGCTTTTTTTTCTTTTTGCTTCTCTAGTCTTCTCACTCCACCACCCAGCCCACTGAAAAAAACATTTCCCCCCTAACTAAGATCATATTCCTAATTTAGGATAATTACAGTCACAGGTTTTTTCCATGGTAGATGCAAGGGGAAGAATGGTATTTTGAGACCCAGTTGTGTGGCCTCCCAGTGTTGGAACTGTGAATTTGAAATATACCTTAATTATGGATATTAATAATTAACCCTTAGCCAAGAGCAACTGTAAGGTTTTCTGGGATAGATGATAAACAGGAATTTCAAATAAGGCTTGGGATATATTATTGGTATGCATTATAATGGCTAGAGTTCCTTGCTAGATTTCCTTGTCTAAAATATTTTTTGATTTTACAAGACTACTAAAGGAATGCTGTATCATTTCAGGAGTGCGCTCAGACTAGCAGAGTTAGCCAATTTAAATTTCAGTTCAGATATTCCCCGCAACTAATTTTGATGAAATCTTTTCTCTCTCAGAATTGTGTGAACTATTGTGTGGGTTTTTTCCATCATACTGTTCATTCTAAGGACTGCCCTGCCAGTGTGTGTGTGTTTCTGACTTTTGTGAACTTTGGTGTGGTTATTTCAAACTGCACTATTAGTGAACCGATGGAATTTTATCTGAAATGAGAGTATCTGATCTACAGCTTAATGGCAAAATTGACTAGGACTTTCTGCACTGGACACATGACTCTTGTGCTTAAATAAGATTAATAGTTTCCAAGAAAGTAAGTTCCCAGTTCAAATTATGATTGTATGATCCAGTTCACAAATTAATCTTTTTGTGTGCAGGTGCCAGTTTTAAAACACAGATGTACTGGCTGCATCTAAGTTTCAAAAATTGTTAATGCAGCTGACTCAACATATTTTGAGGCTGCAGTTGCAATTGACGAAAAACGATGTGTTCAGAGAGAAAATATTAGAACAATACATGGAACCAATTACATAAAATAATTTTATCACCTGTATCAACTTACCTGATTGACTTTTCCTGTAGTTCTTGCCATATGAACTGATGCAACTGAGAAAAGGGCCTTTTTGGTTGTGACATCTCACTTATTCATTCTCCTCAAGGAAGCTTACCTGGTATCTATATTTGTGTTTCCAGTACTGGTGAATAGTTTTATTTTCCTACAATCTAGGCTTTTGATATCTGATGGACATCTATGAATGTTTATTTGATCTTCTCATCTATAAACTGATCACTGTTCTTATTGTCCTTTTCAGTTTAATTTCATTTTGCTTTTTGTTTTGTGACCCATGCTGTTTATTTCCTGAAAAGCTGTATTCAGATTTATAAAATTAAAAAAAAAAATAAAGTATGCCTTTTTTGTGAATCGACTTAAAGTCCTAGAATAACTTTATTCTATTTCTTTTAAACATTGAAATTATTAGTTACTTGGAAGTTGCTAAAATCCCAGACTTAGAGAAGGAGGTCACAACAGCCTCTGGTTTTCTCCTACCACTTTTTAAATCAGATTTTTAAATGCTTGAAGATGCAGCTCCTCAATACAAGTGACAGAACTATTAAAGCAATGCAAAAAATCGTATTCTCTCTAAGCCCAGATAAGCTTTTATTAATGTGTTTAAATATGTATGTATTCTAAAATGTGACCTTAGACTGTCTTCCATTAATATGGCAGAGTGAAGCCTTCCCCTCCTGAAGGAGCCAAATCTAATCCATCGAAGAGGCATAGAGATCGATTGAATGCAGAATTGGATCGCCTGGCTGGTCTTTTGCCATTCCCTCAGGATGTTATTGCCAAGCTGGATAAATTATCTGTGCTTAGGCTCAGCGTTAGTTACCTGAGAGCCAAAAGTTTCTTTGATGGTAAGAAATTGCAGTTTATCTTCCTTACTCGCTATAAAATGAATGTTCTCTTATGAGTTGGGAGTTCAAAGCTAAAGTACTGAAACTCAAGTATGGCTGTAAGAATAAAAATAAGATGCATTTCTTTTGAAAGAGGTTTGCATTTTGAAGTGAATTAACAAATCTTCAGAATTCTCTCTTGAAATGCCTTTGGAGTCCTATCATCCCACATCATTTTTCCTCTTTCTTATGAATGTTTTCTGTGGTTGCTTGTGTGATGTTGGGAATAAAAATAAGCCTTAATTTCTGACTACAAGGAGCTTGGAGTGAATGGTGTGCATGAATCAATCATAATTTTAGTGTTATTGAACACCACTGAACACCTGAGATGGGAAAAATGTGGCTACTATTATTATATCTACTGGATGTACTAAGTTGCCTTGCAGCAACCAAGATCTAGTTGTCCAATTGTAAGGCCCAATTTATTTTCATCTGAAACATGTCAATAAACATAACTATTCTGAATGGTACACATTGCAATAAGTTTTTTGAAAGACTAGTGGAGCTTGAGGGAAAGAAGAAACCATATATTTTTATGGTTTTAGTTACAGTAAAACTCAAAAGCAAACACATTTGGGGGATATTATTTCCTGTAATTAACTCCTTCAATAACTCTTACAAAAAGTGGAAGCTGTAGTTCATATACTCTGGCTTAAATATTGGATCCCATACTTAGTGTTCCTATTTGGCATTGAGAATTTCTATGTACTCATTGTAACCCTAGTCTAGAATATACCACCCGGAAAGCTTGCAGTGACCAATATATTGCTTCTCAAATCATGTTATACTTAAACTCACAGTCCAATGAATGTGTAATTTCTAGCTGAAGTAGATATCTATATTTCACTCTGGAACAGAACTTCATATTTACAGTGAGCTCTGTAGGATGCATTTGTTAGCCATGTGATAGCATAATGAAGTCCTGTGTTCATTATGCTGTCCATTTGTATTGTTGCAATGTTTCCATATGTTACATTTAGGCTTGCTTGATTTTAATGCATCATACAGATTCTGAGATTAAATTGCCAAAAATCTAATCCCAGGCATGTCTACTTAGAAGTGAATCCTATTGATTTCAGTAGGATTTACTCTCAGCTAAGTGGGTGTTAAATTAGTTTCATTAACTGTTAGTGTATCAGAAGTATGAGGGCAGAAGTTAAGAAAGCTAGGAAGAATATTTAATAGAACACTTTTAGAATTACTACAGATTAAAAGAGAACACCTTTCTATGGAAAAAAGCGATTGTCATGCATAGTTTTGTTTATACCTTTTCAAATCCCTAAAGATAAAGGTAGCGTAACACAGTAATTGTGGAGTAACAGGACTCCCTCTAGCTTATATTTTGTATTATAATTTACACAAACTTGACCTTTTTGATCATAGACTAAGTAGTGTCAGAAGGAGCCAGGAACGTCAACAAGTCCAACCCCCTGCTGGTACAAGGTACCAATTGCACAATCCCACTCAGTTAACTGTTTCTCTTCTTGAAAGTTTCTAGTGTGGAAGAGTACACAACCTTTCTTGGCAACTGGTTCCACTGTCATATTGTTCTGTGGGGTACTTTTATACCTTCTAAAATGGGTGCAAACAGGAAAAGGTTTAGTATAGAATTTAGTAAGAATCTTAGCTAGAACTTCCAGCATATAGAGTTCAGTTCTATTAAGGGAAAGCTTTGCTGTGATCTTTTTAAAGTTAGTAGGCCAAAGTATTGTTATACAAATGTTCTTGTTTTGTATTGCTCTGGGAAGAATTAAACCTTAAGTTACCTGTACTTGTTGATAACTGAAAGCTGTTCTTACCTTGATTGAAAACTTCCGAGGAAGAACTTTAGCTAAAACAAAGGCTTTTCATGTGCACCATTTTTCTTGTCTGAGGTGCTATTATCTAGGCTCAAAAATGACCCCCTAATGCTACTAGTGCTATACTTTTGTCAATGCACAGCTAGCGGGCTGCGGGATCCAAATAGAGCTCCCACCTTAGAGCTGAAGATCCTCATTCAGATCCTCCTCCTCTGTCACAGCCAGTGTGGAAAGAACCTCAGATAGAGAAAGTAAAGGGGGTACTCCAGAAAGCAGGGACAGGGAGGACAGTGGCACTATCAGGATATGGATGACAAACTTGATGGTGCTCCAGTTCCTTTCCAGAACAGCTAAAAGCAACCATTTAGTTGAATTGCAAAGTGGGAATGCAGAAATCACCTCTGTACTGGATGCTTTAAGCTTCTGAGTTTGGAAATTGACAAACATCAAGGGCACAGTCATCCTTAGTGAACCTCAGAACAGAAGGACAAATAGTTAAAGCAGTGGATGTGTATTTTCACAAGCAATATTCCAGGAAAGCTTGCTAAAAGAAAAAATGTGTTTACTGTTTACCTACAAATAAACAGAGGTGGAGCCATGCATATTTTTTTGAGAAGCTGCTTAAGCTTTGATGCAGCATGATTAATTTGTTCCATCCAGTTGCCAGACTTCCAGTTGAAGGACATGGAACAGGACTTCAGAAGTAAGGCAGTGATTTCAGCCGTGCTCTTGTTGGGATGAAGTAATAACTTAAGTATTCTTATACTGAAATGTTTAGGGATTTAAAGACCAAAGCCAGCATTCAGCTCTGAAACAAATGGGTGACTAGTGAAGGATTGATGTGATATGATCCTGTCTTCTAGCTTCAGTTGCAACCTTGGCAGTTGGAATTCACTTAGAAGGACATTTAAAAACTGACAAAAGTAGAGCCTGATGTTAGGATATTCCAAACATCTCTCTTGTTTTGAATATAGTTCATTTATCTTTTTGTTTTGTTTTGTTTTTTAAGAAAGATGACATGAACCTGCTTTACTATAGTAAAATGACTGGTTAATGTTAAATGGATCTTTTTAAATGTACACCTAAGCATTCTACTGTTAGGATGTTTTGTTTTGTTTTTTCAAATGAAACTGTTATGGAATCTTGCCAATATCTGTAAAATATGATGAAAGCTATAATATTTTGAAATATAGTTGTGCCAGAATGAATAAACTGACTAGAACAGAATTCTACAAGCTGATTGTAAAACACAGTAAATGTTTCTTAAGTGCCTTGAACTTCTTGTAGGAAAACAGGGTGGCCAATACATTTGTTCAGTTTGTTTATTGATTTGATTTTTTCTATAGTTTCATTCATTAAAAAATCATAAGGATTTACACAGTTTATTTTTAAAAAATCAACAGTAAAACAACTCCTTAATGCCACTACTTGCTACTAAAATTAAAATACCAATTAACACTTAAAATCTGGATATAAATAAAAAGGGTTTAGCCTGCCCCCCAATAAACAGTTTTTTCACCGGGCACACCTCTCTGAGGAGCAAGTTCCATAATTGGGGTGCTGTAGCAGAAAAGACTGCACCATGGCATTTGTGTCATGGAGCTCTACAGGGCTCTATTCTGTTCCCCATGCTCTTTAAGATCTACATGAAACCACTGGACAAGGTCATCCAGAGATATGGGCTGAAATGTCATTGGTATGCTGGTGATACTCAGCGCTACCTTTCATTTTCATCTAATTCAGGTGAGGGCACAACTGTCCTAAACTTGGTAATGTACTGGATGAGGGCCAATAAACTGGAGCTCAATCCAGACAAGACAAAAGTTCTGTTGGTGAGCAGTGCATTTTTCCAACTGGGAAATTTTCAACCAATCCTGGATGGGGTTGCACTCCTCTAAAGGATAAGTTTCATAGTTTGGGGCTATTCCTGGATCTTGAGCTTTCACTTGCCTCTCAGGTGGCCTTGGTGGCCAGGAACACCTTCTATCAGCTTAGGCCAATTTTCCAGCTACACTTCTACTTGGACAAGTATAGACTTGCCACAGTTATCCACACGCTGATAACCTCTCGCCTGGATTACTGTAATACACTCTACATTGGGCTGCCTTTAAAGGCAGTCTGGCTCTTCAGTTAATCCAAAACAGAGCAGCATGGTTACTAACTAGAACCAGCCCTAGAGAATGCATTATGCCAGTCCTCCACCAGTTGCATTCATTCATTCATTCATTCATTCATTCATTTAAAGCTTTTGTATGGCGTCTTATTATACAAGATCTCAGGATGGCTTATTTTTGCTGCCTCTTCTTGCCCAGGCTCAATTCAAAGTGCTCATGCTAACATATAAAGCCTTAAAGGACTTGGGACCAGAATATCTAAAGGATAGCCTCCTTATATTCCTACCAGACCACTCAGGTCATCAGTGGAGGCCCTCCATCAACCCCCTACCTCAAATGAGGTGAGGGGGAAATTGGCAAGGAAAAGGGCCTTCTCAGTCATCTCACCTCACCTTTGGAATTCTCTTCCAAGGAAAGGTGTGACTGGCACCCAATTTATGTTGCTTTCAGTGCCAAGTTAATACTTTATTTTATTGATTATCTGTTTTTAGATTAGACTATTGGTTTGCTACTGGTTTACTGTTTTATTGGTTATTGTTTTTGGTTATATTGTGTTTTCCTCCTGTCTCCTATGTATGTGGTTGTATTTCTCTTATATTTTAATTTTACTGTTTTATGGGGGCTTTTTATATGACTACTTACTTTTATCTGTATTTTATACATATTTATATTACACTGTGAGCTGCCCAGAGAGCCTTTGGCTATGGGTCGGCATGCAAATGAGATAAATAAATAAAATGTAGAGTATATAATTAATTTGAGGATATAATCATACAATATATTATATAATATGTGAAAGAGAAGAATGACAAGTAAAATTTATAACATTACTAGGAAGGGAGGACCGATATGATCCTCTTAAAGAATCCTGGGAATAGATTTAAGAAGAAATATTAGTAATGAAGAATGGAATAATATCTGGGATGAGAGAATTTTAAAATGAATGTCAATTTTTTTAAAACTTTTATAAATTAGTTTGGAAATAGTACTTGACTCCAATTAAATTGAATTTCATGAATATTCTATTGTATGTTGGAGAGGTAACCTG